CGGCGCTGCCCACGGTGGCCGCATCCAAGGACGACGATTCGACCGACGACTACACCGTCACCGTCACGCTGGGGGCTGAGCCGACGGGGACCGCCTCGCCGTCCTCCTCGTCGACGATCAAGACCAAGTCCGACCCGTCGGGCAGCGACGACGCCGCCGACGACTCGAGCTCGTCGTCGCGCGCGATCGCCGCTGCCGTGGCGCAGGCTGAGCCCTTTGATCCGTCGGAGTGGCAGGCCATGACGGTCATGGTGCCCGCCCACGCCGCCATTCCTTCCGGCGCCGCTGCCACCCTCCTGCCCAGCACCGACGGCATCAACATGGCCTCGCTCTCCTCGCTCGCCACCACGCCCACCCCGACATCGTCCGGATCGAGCAGCGACGCTCCGAAGCAGACGCAGTCCTCGTCGCCGTCGCCGTCGTCGTCTTCGGCCTCGGCCAAGGGCACTGGCTCGCCCGACTTCCCAGAGGCTTCGAGCGTTTCGGCCTCGGCTTCGGCCTCGACCTCGACCTCTGCGCCGGCCAAGTCGCTGGTCCAGGACGCGGCGACGACGGACGGAAGGGCCGCGAGCGCCGTCACGGCCACGCCCACGTCTGGTCCCACGCCGACGCCCACGTCGCGCACCGTCGCGGTCCCCGTCACGGCCGTCATCAACAACCAGACCTTCACCAAGACGATCACGCTGACGCTGACGGGTTCAGGACCGGGGCCGACGCCGACCGGGGCCGCTTCCAAGCCGTCGCCGACGTCGGACGCCAACGCGATCCCGGACGAGGATGTGCCCCCGCTGCTGCGTCCGTCTGGCAGCGTGACCGAGGCGACTGGCGGCGACGACGACGAGGACATGGACGACTGCGAAGACGACGACTTTGACGTCGGTGCCTCGTCATCGACGACTCCGTCCGCCCGTCAGCAGAACCTGGTGCTGAGCTACAACGACGTCGACGACGCCGCGCTCACGGGCGAGGATCCGTCGTCGTCGTCGTCGTCTTCATCGTCGTCGTCGTCGCCGAGCTGGTGGAGCAGTGCGATGAGCCTGCTCGGCCTTTGATGGGCGTAGATAGAGTCGCGGCTGTTCCAGGAGAACTTTGAAGCCCTGGCCGGCGGATGATTTGAATCAATCGAGATCGGAAGAGTTGGACGTAAGTGTTTTCGACGTGTTGCGACGTGTTGTGTGTGGGCCGTGCGATGTCGAGGGTCGATGCTGAACGAGCTGGGGCTGACCGGCTCCGAGCGCCCCGAGGATGGTGCATGGCGGGTGCGTGGGGGTGGGGTGGGGTGGGGCACAAGCAAGCTGGGCCGAGATCGTCGCGAGATGCGGCGAGGGTGCACGTGGACACCAACGGCGCTTTCCTATTCGACCCTGCCTGGCCCTAGCCTGCTCTTCCCCCCGCAGCTTGCCGTCGCACGTTCCAGGTCGGAGAATGAAACAGCCACTTTCCTTCGCCAGCCTCAGCTTGCCCTCGTCTGGTCGATCCGACGACTTCTACTCACTTCGGGCGGTGCCGGGCAAGGATCCTACGACACGTCTTCGAGGTCCTGTCCAACGTCGCTTGTGCTTGACGAGGCCTCGAGGCTCGACGTACCCAAGACGGAGAGGCCAGGGACGCCGGACGCTTCCAGATTCGACGTACGAGGCGCTGCGGGAAGAAGCCTGGTTAAACCCCGCCGCTGCACCACCTGCAGCCAGCAGGCACAGCGGCAGATTTCAAATTCGAGGCGAGCCGGGCTAGGCAGATCGAGATGGGCTCGACAGAGGCATCTCGATCTCAGGAGGTGGAGCAACGGCGATGGTACGGTGTGGCTGATCTGGTCGGCGTCGTCCGTTTGGGGCTGATGGCAAAGCGGGATCGACGTGCGCCAACAAAGAGGCAGGCCAGACAGGTGACGAGAATCAGGCACGGTCCCGCCTGCCCTCGATTGACGGGCCCAGAGCGCTGGCTGCGAGAGACGTCGCATGGCATGGCCTCGTCGTGGCCGCCCGCCACCCTCGCCGCCGGTTGCGCACGGAGTCGAGGCCCGTACCCGTCGATGCTGTCGGCGCGGCGTCTTCTGGTCGACACGCCTTGTTTCTGCGCGCTTCCTAGCGCCTCGCCGGGCCAGGAAGCGACGGACAGGAACGTGGCCGCCAGAAAGGGGTGGAGCACATGCACAGCGAGACCAGTCCAGTCCATCCACAGAGAGGCGGCAAGACCTCATCATCGCCCACCGCAAGCGAGTGAGCAGAAGCACCGGTCGTTCGTTCGTCGTTCGATCGAGGCGTGCACGTACGGACGGTCGATGGCTTGCTGCGTGATGGCCGCCGCCGTCGGCGTCGTCGCCTGGTCGTCGCGCGATCTGCCGCTTTTATGCAGACCGACGACCGTGAGCGCCGACTCGTCTCTATTTGTCCGTATGGTCCGAGGTGGCGACGAATGGCAGCATGAGCCGCAAGCAGACAGGGGCGTGGCATGATACGAGCAAGCGGCCAGATGGACGTATGACACGCCGCTGCTTGCTCGACGTGGGCGGCCGGAGCTCCAAGACCACCGGCGAGCCCCCATGGGTCGGCCCAAAGTACGGTCGCCGCAGCGAGGAGATGCGGTAGGCAACCGGGCGGCCGGCCGGCTGGCTGGCGTGCCGGCGACCGGGCGCTTTGCCAGCAGCATGATCGATGCGGCGAGTCAGAGCATGGAAGCACATCAGACGATCGGGGCACGGTGAGCATAGCGGGCAGGCAGCGCGGTGCGGTGTCAAGACGCAGCCACTCACCCGCGAGGAGGCGTGGGGGCCTCGCCCTGGCCGGCTCGACCTGCTGGGTACCAAGGCGACAATGGGGCATATGGCGGCCGCACTTCTTCGAATCCAGGGGCTTGGCCGCCGCGCTGGCGCGCGCGTGCAAGCGGCCGCTCTCTTAGCTTGCTCCTCTTCCCGCCCCTCGCCGAGATCAATTTAGCGGAATCCCGGGATGGTTGAGCCGCTGGCGCTCGATTTGCGGGCCCGTCGCTGGCATGGACGAGCTGGCGAGCGGATGGAGAACGGGTCGAGGTTTCGGGCAGCAGCGGGTACCGTACAGTACATCGTTGTTGACGCATTGACCAGAAAGAAGCTTCGTCCGAGGCGGGCGTGGCCCTGTCGATGGACGAGGAGAGGCGGCCATGCAGCCAGACGGGGCCCAGGCCAGGCCGGGCCAGGCCAAGCCAGATTTCAGCGGCCAGGCCAGCAGGCGGAGAGCCAAGCGTGAGCCAGAGCCAGGGCCAGAGCCAGAGTCGGATTCAGATTCCTCGCTTGGCCCTGGCCGCCTCTCCCGTCTGGCCAGCCGCTGCCCAGCCAGCCAGCAAGCAGCAGCAGCAGCAGCCCTTGCTTGCTTGTTTCCCCTGGCAGCCATCCACCATCTCGTCCTCGTGTTCGACCACGACCTTGCTTCTTCCTTCGACATCCCAACCGCACCCAGTCTCGGAACCCCCGCTGCCGCTCGTTGCACCACCACCGACCCGCCCGCGAGCTCGACGCCAAGCAAGGTGCTCTCGGTTCGGCCCGCCCGCCCCTCGTCGTCTCGTCTTGGTCTCGCCTCCACTACTCTACTATTCGATCTCTCCTCGACCGTTGCTCGACTCTGCCGCGGCGCCCCCTCGTCACTTCGGCTGCATTTGCCTGGTTGAGCTCGGCCAGCATCCGCTCCCTTGGACGGCATCAGGATCGCAGCAGCGGCAGTCGTACAAGCAACCCACCACCAACATCACCACGACAAGCTGCCGGCCCATCCGACACCCAGCAGCTCAGGCCAGCTTCCCACAGCACCGCCGCCGGCCTTCCCGTTGGCACCCCCGCTCTAGAGCATCCGCGCGGCCCTTTGACTCCCAGCTCTCGACCCGCCTCGCTCACTCACCCCCCTCCCTGCTCGCTCCTTCCTTGAGCCAGGCGGCCGCCGCGACCGACGCTCGCCCGCCATGAAGTTTGGTCGCACGATAAAGACGTCGCTCTACGCAGAGTGGGCCGAAAAGTACCTCCAGTACTCGGAGCTCAAAAAAGAGATCAAAAAGAGGCTCGCAGCAAACAATGGCGTGTGGACCGACAAGGACGAAGACGAGTTTGTCGACATCCTCAGCAAGGAGCTCGACAAGGTCTACGACTTCCAGAAGCTAAAGGTTCGTCGCCCGCCTGGCCCACCTTGCCTGCTACTCGTGCCCGACCTGCTCGAGTCGAATTCTGACAATCCGGCCTTCCTTTGCACCCCCCCTTTTCGTCGCCGCAGGTCACCGAGATCACTGAGCGGATCAAGCAGGCACAGGCCGAAGTCAACCTGCTTGTCTCGTCGCGCAACAACTCGGCCTCGTCGCTGCCCTCGCGCAACACGTCCCGCCCCACATCTCGCGCCGGATCCGACGTCGACGACGACAGCGCAAGCCGCAACGGCAAGCGCAGATCCAACGGCGTCCTCTACGCCGCCGACGACGCCGGCTCCGACGACGAATTCGACAGCGACACGGAAAACAGCGACGCCTACGAGGAGCGCTTTGCCGAGCTCGAGGAGCGCCTCGCCGTCATCATCGCCGACGTCCACGACCTCGCCCTGTTCACCAAGCTCAACTACACGGGCTTCCACAAGATTGTCAAGAAACACGACAAGCAGACTGGGCGCCTGCTGCGCAAGGAGTTTGTCCAGCACTACCTCGGCGCGCGGCCCTTTTACAAGGAGAACTACGACCAGCTCATCGTCAAGCTCTCGAAGCTCTTTGATCTCGTGCGCACGCGCGGCAACCCGGTCCAGGGCGACTCGAGCGCCGGCGGCTCCCAGAGCGCCTTTGTGCGCCAGACGACAAAGTACTGGGTCCACCCGGACAACATTGTCCCGCTCAAGCTCGTCATCCTCAAGCACCTGCCCGTGCTCGTCTTCAATGCCGACAAGGACTACTCGCAGGAGGACAGCGCCATCACGTCAATCTACTACGACAATGAGGACCTCGAGCTCTACCTGGGCCGGCTAGAAAAGACCGAGGGCGCCGAGGCCATCCGGCTGCGCTGGTACGGCGGCATGGACAACAAGCAGATCTTTGTCGAGCGCAAGACGCACCGCGAGGACTGGACCGGCGAAAAGAGCGTCAAGGCCCGCTTCCCCATCAAGGAGGAAAACGTCAACGCCTTCATGAGCGGCGACTACACCATGGACGAGACGTTCGAGGCGCTGCGCAAGAAGGGCAAAAAGTCGGACAAGGAGGTCGACTCGATGCTCCAGCTGGCCAACGAGGTCCAGTACGCCGTCCTCGAGCGCAAGCTGCAGCCCGTCATGCGCAGCTTCTACAACCGCACCGCCTTCCAGCTGCCCGGCGACGCCCGCGTCCGCATCTCGCTCGACACCGAGCTCACCCTGGTGCGCGAGGACAACTGGGACGGCCGACGCCGCGCCGGCGACAACTGGCGCAGGATGGATATCGGCATCGACTTCCCCTTCGACCAGCTGCCCGCCGAGGACGTCGAGCGCTTCCCCTACGGCGTGCTCGAGGTCAAGCTGCAGACCCAGCTGGGCCAGGAGCCGCCCGAGTGGATCAAGGAGCTCGTCGCCAGCCACCTGGTCGAGGCCGTGCCCAAGTTTTCCAAGTTCATCCACGGCTGCGCCACCCTCCTCGCCAACCGCGTCGACCTCGTCCCCTTCTGGCTGCCCCAGATGGAGATCGACATCCGCAAGCCGCCCAGCAACAACCTGGCCATCGAGCGGCCCGCGGGCGGCGCATCGTCGTCGACCCACTCGCACCCGTCGTCGCGGCCCGATACCCCTGGCTCCAAGGCGTCGTCGTCGCACAACGCGCAGCCCTACCACGAGCCGGTCAGCGAGGACGAGTTTGACGGCGTCGACGAGGACAACGAGGGCAGGGCCACGGCCGTCGGCGACGAGGCCCGCGAGGCCGGCAGCCTCGGCCTGTCGGCGTTTGACCCGCGCATTCGCGAGATCCGCGAGGAGCGCGAGCGAAACATCCGCGCCAGGCGCGAGGAGCTGGCCAAGCAGATGGAGCACGGCCCGGCGGACAAGACGTCCAACGTCGCCGCGGGCATGTTGGCCGCCGACGCCGCCACCATCGGCGGCGCCGGCGGAAGCGGGGCGAGGAGCGCGTCGCGGGACCCGGCGCGGTCAAAGAAGCCGGTGGCGCCGACGCGCGACGAGATCCTGGCGCCCTCGAACCGCTTCGACAAGAGCTACTTTTCCAAGCTGACGCCCAAGAACATCCAGCGGTTGTGGAAGACCAAGGGGCGTAGCCACGAGCCCGATGACGGCGACGATGACGACGACGACCAGGAAGAGGACGACCCGATCCGGCGCGCGCTCGAGGGGCGGGACGAGGAGGAGCCGCGCGGTTTCGGCTCCGGTCCGCCGCCGGGCGTCGAGTACACGCGCGACTTCCACGCGCAGCCGGGCAAGAAGGTCTCGATCCCCATCCGCGTCGAGCCCAAGGTGTACTTTGCCAACGAGCGCACTTTCCTCAAGTGGCTCGAGTTCAACGTCTTCCTGTCGGCCTTGGCCGTCGGGCTGCTCAACTTTAGCAAGCCGGGCGACCGCGCCGGGCTGATTGCGTCGTCGTTTTTCACCGTCGTCGCCCTCGTCGGCATCGCCTACTGCGGCATCATCTACATGATCCGCGCCTACAAGATCCGCGCAAAGGAGAGCAGCCACGTCTACTTTGACGCCGTCGGCCCCACGATCCTCTGCGTCGCCATCCTCTCGGCGGTGCTCGTCAACTTTATCCTGCGCTACACCGAATCCCACGATTCGAGGACCGGTCGCGGCCTGGTCAACTAGCGGCGGCGGCAGTGGCGGCGCCGCCCGCTCCCCTCCTCGCCTTGGCTCTTATCGTCTCGTCGTCGGTGGCCTCCGCCCTTTTTGCTCCCTCCCTTCCTCCCTACTCCACTCCTTTGCCACCTCTGTCTCTCCCTCTCCGCCTCTCTAGGTCCACTCGTTTGTATCTAAGCTTTGCAAGCCAAACCCCCTCGTCGCTCGTCTCGCCTTGCCGTCACCTCGGGAAGAAGCGGAAGGAAGACCAACGACGCGGCGTCGTCGCGGTCTTTGCTGTGCACGGATAGCGCAGAGGCCATGATGTGACGAATCGAGATTGGGACAGCACACGAGGAAATGAAGCGAGGAAAAGGTACGGTGCGACCTCGCAAAGGAGCGGCGGGAGGAGGAGCACGGAAGGACGCGGCAAGGGATCGATCGGCTTCTACTTCATCCTCTTTTTGGCCTTGTCGATGTGCTTTCGCAGCTTTTTCGACTTTTCGCGCAGCGACGCCTTCTTTTTGCTCCGGACGCCCCACGATTTGGCCACCATCCTGCAGGTTGACGAAGGAAAGAGAGGGAGGACCGAGGATCAACAAGCAAGGGAGGTGTCAGTGGATCCGCGTATCGAAGGGGGATGGATACGAGACCGGGGCGGGGGGCCACACGCATACGCACTGGAAGTTCTTTCCCTTTTCCTTTTCGCGGTTGGTCGTCGAGCTGCCGCCCTCCTTGTTCTTTTTCCCCTTTCGGCTTCCGTACTTTTCGCGGTCCTCGCGTCCCTTTTCGATCGACGCCATACGCTCCTCGTAGTCGGCCTTGGCCTTCTTGCGCGGTCCGAGGATATCGCCCTCGTCGAGAAAGACGCCGTCGGCGTTGAGCGACGACGATCCCGCCGCCCGCTTCTTGGCGCCCTGCTTGAGCGTCTCGAGCTCCCGCTTGGCCCGCGCCCCCGCCAGCCCGCCCGTAGAGATGAGCGTCTCGAGCTGCGTGATCCGCAGCGCGTTGAGCGTCGCAAAGTCGGCCGGCGTCAGAATCTTGCTCGTCGCCAGCGTCGAGATGCGTTCCGTCTCGGCCGACACGGCCGCCGTGGCCGCTTCAACGTCGCCCGCCTTGACCTCACCGCCCGCCTTTTTGTCGCCCTCGCCCTCGCCCTCGCCCTCGCCCTTGTCGTCGTCGTTGTCGTCGCTGCCGCTCGCGTCGCTGTCGCTCGTCTCGACTTCTTCGCCCTTGTCGCGCCGCTCCTGCCTCGCCGCCTTCCTCGCCAGCCTCTCGCGCTTCCGCCGGCGCTCCTCGCGCTTCCGCTCCAGCCGCTCCCGCATCATGTCCTTGGCGCTCTTCTTCTCCCGCTTCGTCTCCTCGTCGTCGTCGCTGTCGCTGTCCGACAGGTGGAAGGCGGCCCCGTCGTCGTCGTCCGACGACACGTTGATCCAGCCGTCCTCGGATTCGGACTCGGACCCAGAGTCGGCCTCCCAGCCCTCCCAGCCCGCCGCATCGTCGTCGCCGTCGGCATCGTCGCCGCCTGCGCCGCCCTCTCCGTCCTCGGCCTTCTGCCTCTGCTGCTCCTCGAGGTGCTTCTCGAGCAGCTCGATGCCGCGGATGCCGCGCACCTCGTCCTGCGCCACGCCAAACGGCAGCGCCGTGTGGCCCTCGGCGACGGCGAGCGTGCCCATCTTGCCGCGCTCCTTTTTCTTGAGCAGTCCCGGGTTGACCTCGCGGTAGAGCGAGAGCATGCCGCGCGCCGCCGCCGCCACGCCCTTGTCCTTGGAGCGGCGGTACGAGATGAGGTCCTCAAGCAGCGCCTCGTCCATGGCCCACGGCTGGCGCTTGCAGATCTCGCGGATCGAGTTGAGGCCCGCCGCCACGACCTCGGACGACACGCCCGGGTGGATAAAGGCGTCCGAGATCTTGCGCACCACGGGCGTCAGGACGTCGGGCGGCGTCTGGTCGTGCACGCTCTGGGCGAGCGAGACGAGGATCAGGGTGATGTGGAGCTGGTGCGGCGCCAGGTACTTGACGACGTAGCTGTAGAAGCTCAGCACGCACAGCTTGTGCGCCGCCATGACGCGCGACAGCAGCTGCATCATGCGCACCTTGATCTCGATCGTGTGGCGCTTTTCGCGGTCGCCGCGGCTGAGGTTGTCAAACAGCTTCTCGCCAAAGTTCTGGGCGTCGTTGAGCAGGTAGAGGGCGGCAAAGTTGGTGTTGCCGTCCGAGCCGGTGCTGCCCTCGACCGACGCCTCCTGCTTGGCGCGCCGCTTCTTGCGCACCTGGCTGGCCGCCGCCTTGATCTTTTTGTCGCCGCTGCGCGTCTTTTTGCCCACCTTGCGCTGGTGCTTCATCTTTTCGATCTCGGCGCCGCCGTCCGAGTCCTCGTCGTCGTCCGACGCCTCGTCCTCGGCCGAGTGGAGGTCGCCCAGGAAGAAGCGGATGGCCGACGACTGGACGCGCGGGTGCGGGTGGAAGCAGGCCAGGGCGAGGAGCGAGACGGTCTTGGCGTCGTTCCAGATGGCCTTGCGCCACAGGTTGGCGGCGAGGCGCACCGCCCACAGCGCCTCGGACTTGCCGGTGAGCTGGCCCTTTTTGCCGTGGAGGGGCGCGCTGGCGGCGCCGGCGCCCGAAGAGACGGCGTCGATGCCCTGCTGCACGATGCCAAAGAGGAGGCCCTGGACGACGCGGTTGAGGCGGTGGTTCTTGGCCTTGAGGTTGGCGTTCTTGAGGTCCTGGAGGATGGTGGCCTGGACCGAGGTACGCAGCGACGACGACGTGGTGATGGTGAGGAGCGGGAAGAGGGTGCGGAGGAGGGCCTCGGAGGTGATGACGTCGCGGTTGCGGAGGAGGATGAGGGAGCGGAGGCAGGCGACGCGGATGTCGGGGGTGAGGGCGGCATGGTGGTTGAGGAGGAGGTCGGAGAGGTGCGAGGGGAGGGGCGCGGTAATGTCCGGGTACGAGGGCGCGAGCTGGGTGACAAACGAGATGAGCTGGACCAGCTTGACCTGCTGGTCCTTTGCGATCTTGGGCGCGGCCATGGCACCGGCGGCGGCGGCGCCCTGCTGAGGGCCGACATCGAGCGATGCAGCGGCGACGCCGGCGTCGAGAGCGAGGTCGGCGGCAAAGATGCTGCGCAGACTCTGGTAGTGGTTCCACTGGGCGGTGAATTCCTCGACGTAGGCGTCTGGCTGTCGTTTGAGGAGGTTCTGGAGGGCGGGGAGGTTGTCGGTGTTGAGGAGGCCCCGGCCCATGGAACGGTGGGTGAGGCCGCCCTCTTTTACGATGGCGGTGGGCACGGGCTTGCCGCTCTTGTCCTTGGTCGGCGGCATGGCGGGTGGCCGGGGGTTGGGGGTTGATGGGAGGTGAGGATGGCGGCGGTGGTGGTGGTGGCGAACAGCGCAGACGAAGAGGAAGAATCGAGGACCGCTGGACCCGAGCTCAGCCCAGATTGAGAGGCGGCAGGGCCCCAGGGCCCCAGGGCCCCCACGCCCAGCCCCGAGCAGAAATTTGGCAGCTTGCCCGCCGAGACTGGCCTCGCTCGAGAAATTTTTGGCGGCGAGGTCCGGAAGTCGGGCTCGCCGCTGCTGCCCTTGCGCCGCATGGCAGCGGGAAATTTTCTGGCTTGGTGGCTAGCCAGGCCTTGGCTTGCCTCACCTCCCCCCGGCACCCTGGCTGGCTGGCTGAAGCTCGACCTGTCTCGGCCCATTCCTATTCCTTTCACGCCGCCGACGACGACGACGACGACGACGACCACCACCACCATCCGCATCCTCCAACTTCAACCGACACCATGGACGACGACGATGGACTCATGCTCAACTTTGCCTCGGCCTCGACGACGGGCGCCGGGGCCGCCAGGAAGCCAAACAGCCGCGAGAGGAGAAAGGAGCACATTGCCACCAACCGCGCCAACAAGCAGCAGCACCACCAGCAGCAGCAGCACAGCGGTGCCAGTGTCAGCAGCAGCAGTAAATCGCCATCAGCGCGCCCAGCAGTGGCATCCTCGACGCAGCAGCCACGGCCACGGCAATCGCCCGCACAGCCCCGCGCAGGCCCATCGTCGTCGGCAGCACCGGCGGCGGCTCCTCCGGCCGCCAAGAGGCAGAGGGTGCAATCCGCTTCGGCATCGTCCGCCGCACAGCCATCGGCAGGATCCGCCCGCGTACCCGCTGGCGGTGTCATCTCGTCGCTCTTCCCCACGACCCGCACGACGGCACCTTCCGATGTCGCCCTGTCATTCCAGTCGGCCGCCGCCGCCGCCGCTGCCGCTGCTCCCAAAAAGGACCACGCACCCACCAACGCGCCCTCGGCCAACGCCAGCTTTGCCGACCTCGGCCTGGACCCGCTGCTCGTCGCCCACCTCGCCACAAAGATGAACATCGGAACCCGCCCGACGTCGATCCAGAAGATGGCGCTGCCCGCCCTCCTCTCGCCCGATGCGTCCCGAGACGTCTTCATCCAGGCCCAGACCGGCTCCGGAAAGACGCTCACCTACCTCCTCCCCATCCTCCAGTCCCTCCTCCCCCTCTGCGAGGAGAGCTTCATCGATCGCTCCGTCGGCACCCTCGCAATCATCCTCGCCCCCACCCGCGAACTCGCAAGGCAGATCTACGAGGTCCTCGAGAAGCTCGTCTCGCTCGCACTCACCCTCAAGCAGCAGCAGGAGGAACAGCAGCAGCACCAGGACAGAGCGAGCGCAGGTGACGACGACGACGACGACGACGCCGCCGTCGAACGCGCCACCGTCCGCCGCACACGCTGGCTCGTGCCCGGCCTCCTCTGCGGCGGCTCGACGCGCAACCACGAAAAGCAGCGCCTCCGCAAGGGCTGCCCCATCCTCGTATCCACGCCCGGCAGGCTGCTCGACCACCTCCAGAACACGTCGAGCTTCGAGGTGGGCAAGTGCCGGTGGCTCATCCTCGACGAGGCAGACCGCCTCCTCGAGATGGGCTTCGAGGAGCAGCTCACCGGCATCATCAAGGCCCTCGACGGCAGGCGAAGGCTCGGCTGCGTGGCCGCCAGAGAGGCCATGCCCGGCTACGACGCCGACGCTGCGCCCGGCACCGACGCCTACATCCGCGACGTCGAAGTGACCGACTCGATGGGCATCGCCTGGTGGTCCCACCGCCGCAGAGTCGTCCTCTGCTCGGCCACGCTTGACGAAAACGTCCAGGTGCTCGCGGGCAACACGCTCCAGAACCCGCTCGTGCTTCGCGGCGGCAAGGACGAGCCTGCGCCCGCAGCCATCTCCGGCGCCGACGCCGACGCCGCAACCGCTTCCGCCGGTGATCACGGCAGCGCCGAGGCCGTCGACGCCGGCGAGACCGCCGATGCTGCCGCCCCGGCCGCCAAGCACCAGTTCTCGGCCCCCGCCCAGCTCGAGCAGAACTACGTCGTGACGCCGCCCAAGCTGCGCCTCGTCACGCTCCTCGCCGTGCTGCGCGCCTACCTGGCTCGCGCCAAAAAGACGCTCAAGTTCAGCGACACCTCCGCTACCGGCGCTGCCGCCGCGACGGGCGCCGGCCGGATCATTGTCTTTATGAGCTGCACCGACTCGGTCGATTTCCACTGGAAGGCCCTGGGCGGCGCCAAGATGTCGGCGCTCGACGACGCCGACGACGAGTCCGACTCGTCCTCCGACGAGGGCGGCGAGGGCGAAGCAAAGATGCGCAAGAAGAAGCAGGCGCCCGTCTTCCAGACGTCGGAGCTGATCCCCAACGTGCCCATCTTTAAGCTGCACGGATCCATGACGCAGGCGGAGCGGATCGCCTCGCTGCGTGCGTTTTCGCGGTCCGGCGATGCGGCGGCGGGGGCGGCCAACGAGGGCGGCGGCAGCGGCAAGGGTGCGATCCTGTTCTGCACCTCGGTGGCGTCGCGCGGCCTGGACCTGCCGCAGGTCGGGTGCGTCGTGCAGCTCGACCCGCCGACCGAGGGCGGCATCGAGGAGTACCTGCACCGCGTCGGGCGAACCGCGCGGGTCGGAAAGCGGGGCGAGTCGTGGCTGCTGGTGCAGCCGCAGGAAGAGGGGTGGGTGCACGACGTGCTCGAAGCCAACATGGTCATCGACTCGCCGTCGTCGGCATCGCTCGCCACTAGGGCGGGACGACGGGACGAGGACGACGTCAAGATCGCGCCCGCGGCGCTGGAGCCCGTGCTCCTCTCTGGCTTTGGCGGGGAGCGGGGTACGTTGGAGTACCAGTCGCGCGCGACTGACGTGCAGCTGGCGTTTGAGCGGTGGGTGCTGCACCGCGACGAGGCGAGCGAGCTGGCGCGCCGCGCCTTTTTGAGCCACGTGCGCGCCTACGCCACCCACCCGAGCCAGGAGAAGCAGTGGTTCAACGTGCGCACGCTGCACCTCGGTCACCTCGCCAAGGCATTCGCACTGCGAGAGGCTCCAAAGAGTCTCGGCGCCAAATCCAAGTCCAAGTCCGCTTCCGCTTCCGCTTCCGCCTCGGCCTCGGCTGCGGGGGACAAGAAGCGCAAGCGAATCGGCGGCGGTGGCAAAGAGGACGCTGCGACGACGACGACGACGGATGGATTCGAACTGGACAAGCAGGCGCTCAAGAACCTCTCGTCCTCGATCGTCTCTGGTGCGGGCGGCAAGGGCGGGATGACGGACGAGGTGTGGGAGGCGCAGCGGCGGATGCGCGGCAAAGGTGGGCAGGGCGAGACCGAGGCCGAATCGCGCATGTACGCCAAGGTGCGCGCGCTCGGCAAACTGTCGCGCAAGCACGGCGTCCTGGCCGCCCACGCCGCCGACGACTTCCAGATCGCCTAGCGCCGCCCTGCACCTGCGCTGCACTGCACTGCCGTTGCGCTGTCGTCGACAGAGGCAGAGGCAGAAGAGGAGGGGGACGCCGCGGGGGAGTGGGTGGCAATTTTTGTATTCAGGCGGGGGAGGTCGAGACGGGTATGTGGGCTGGCGCGGGGGGCGCGCGCGGGGGCCCGATGATCGAGATGAATACCAAGGATGAGGCGATAAGGAGCGTCGTGTGGCAGGAGCCGTTGCGGGGCCGGACAAGGCCCGGATGGTCGGTCGGTCGAAAGCAGGTGACGGGATGGAAGCAGAGGGATACCGGACGCAGGGGCGAGCGAGCGAGCGAGGGTGAGGCCTCGATCCGCCTGCTCATGGCGCCTCGCTCGTCGCGCCGCCTGACCGGGTCGAGTAGAGGCTGTCGAGCGCTTGCCTGCGCAGAACAGAGTCGGTCGGAAGGAAGAATTCGGCCTTCAGCTGGACATCCTCTCAACCGCGCCGGCCACGTCGGACGGCCCGACACTCACATCCACGCCTCCATGTCCTTTGCCGATGGGGCTTGGAGGAAGTACGAGTTCGAGGCCGTGTAGGCGCCAAAGACGTGTTGTCGCTGTACTCCCGCATAGCGGCAGGCAGGACGGCGCAAAAGAAGGGCGTCAGGGATTGCAACGGCGACGAGGTTGATGGTGGGGCGCTGCAAACTAACCTCGAGCATGGCCTCGATGTTTTCGTCGTGCTCGACTCGCACCGACGCCACGTTGATGGCCATGATTTCGTCGAGCTCCGAGTTGCTCTCGTAGACGTAGAGGAATGGTCTGTGGTGCGCCGCATGCGGCACATCGAGCAAGCAAGCCCAGTGTGGTCAGCATTCAGCCCTCCCCCATATGAGCACCACCGAGGGCGCGACCCGCCCAAACTCACCTCCGCAATGCAAACCACCGCTTGATCCACTGGTCCGAAAACGCCTCGACGGGCATCATGAGCCAGCCGCGCTTGGCCGCATTGTCCGACCGCGCCACCAGCGACACCTCGGCCGTCAGCTTGACCGGCTCTGCCTGCGCCTGCGCCGGCGGCAGCGGCAGCGGCGACACTGACCCCGCTATCGCTGCATTCGTCGCTGTCGCCGTCGCACCCGCACTCGCACTCGCAGCCGTTTGCGCCAGGCGCCGCGCCTCTTCCTCCGCCGACGACTCTTCCGCCAGCACGGCCATCTTCGAGTCGCGCACCGCCCGCTGCCACAGCTCGAGCACCTTGGCCATCAGCTGCTCGCTGCTGGCTGACCCGGGGCCCATCCCCTCGCCATCGG